TTGCCTGTGAGAGTGCTGTGTGTGTAGGGAGTCAAGCTGTGCACGCATCAGCCTGGAGCTGCCCACTGTTGAGGGGCTTTGCTTCCAGCACTGAAATCTCTGATAGCAAGAGTGTGACTGCCCGAGAATGGTCAGACAGAAAAGTTTCCTCAACATCTGTTCCCTGATATTGCTGGGCACAGAGGTGAGACTGACCACCCAGTAGTTTCCCCAGTCTTCTTTTATTCTGTTTTAAAAAATTAGGGTTCCCATCACTGGAACTTGATTGGACTGCCACAACTTCTCAAATATGATGGATAGTGGCAGAGCCACTTCATCTGTTCCTCGGGGCCTGTGGATGCACCTCATCAGATCCCATAGACTTGTGCACCTTCAGGATTCCTTAGATGGATTTGATCCTGATCTACAACTGGTTCTTCATTCTCCCAGTCCCTGCCTTTGCCTTCTGTGGCTGGAGAACTTGCCAGTGAAAACCAAGGCAAAAAATTTGTTGAGTACGTCAGCTTTCTCCATTTCCTGGGTAACCATATCTCCCATTTTCTTCCAGAGAAGACTCACATTCACCCTAGTCTTCCTTTTATTAATGGTACACTTATAGAAGATTTTCCTATTGCTGCTGACATTTCTGGCCAGCTTTAATCCTATCAGAGATTTAGCTTTCCTAACCTGATTCCTGCTTCTCGCTTTCTCTGTTTTTCTCCCAGGCTACCTGTTCTTGCTTCTAGTCTCTGTAAGGCTTCCTTTTTGTGTTTGAGTTTGCCCAGGAGCTCCTCATTTATCCATGCGGGCCTTATGACATTTTTTGCCTGATTTCTTTATTGCTAGGATGCAATCATGAATTTAGATGCAGATGAGATGCAACTTTGAAGGCCCTCTAATTTCCCTCCTGGAAGAAAACAGTGCTAGAGTTCCTTAACAGGTTTTGAATAGGACTATGCTAGAAAAAGGAGGAAGGGAGGGAGGGAACCAGAACATATGTGGCTCCCATTGGACACACATGTATTTCAGTAACTGAGCGTCAGCACAGGATGAGCAGAAAACTTAGTGAAGAAATAATTTCAACAGGTATCAACTGCTGAGATCATTTTCAACAAAGCACAAAGCTTTATTTTAACATGATTTGCTAGGAGGAGAAATATTGTCCTGGCAGTATATTCAAGCAGCACTTATGCCCTGTATGAAACTCAGAGAGGAACTTAGAAGGGGGCCCAGCATTATCCTAAATACCATAATATCATTTAATCCAAATCCAAAAATGCTTCTCAAGTGCAGTCCTATGAGCAGATTGCTGTCTGTGGATACTTTGCACAGAAACACACACAGCACTGTTGTACCACTTTGAGAACAGCCTCTTCTATGCTAGCCAAAGCAGGACTCACATTGAAAAATCCCAGAATAATTTCTTTCTTCTCTGTGTAGTTATGTAAGGCTTTTTGTACAAAAATTATCTTTCAACTCAGGCTTACAGTGATAACAGTATAATTATGGTGTTTCCAACAGTGTGCAGTTCTCCCCAATAGACATTGGAAGATATTTTGTCAAATTAGTTCCTCAACATCACTAAGTCTGGGAAAAAAGCACAGATCAGTAGCTGGGCCTGTGCTCCTTCTATCCTAGTGGAGGCTGGAATAGTGTTTCTACCAATAATAGCCTCAATCAGGCAATCAGGCAGTTCTTGCTCCAAAGAAAAGTCTTCCTAAAACTCAAGACAAGACTTCAATTACACAATCACATACTATTCTGGCTTTAAGAGACTGGACGGTGTGTCTTGAATGAAGAAGAGTGAAATGGTTTTAAGTCACTTTCTGAAACAGGAGTAGAAAAGAATGCTATTTGAGTTTTAAAAATGAGGTTAGATTTCTCTGCAGAAAACAGAACACAAAGCCACTTAAAATATCTGGTAACTATTATATAATGCTTTTTTAAAACTTTCCGTGTTCGATCCAGCTTCAACTGGGGTATGTACTAAAGTCAGTGGAAGTCCTTTTGCTGACATCAATGGGTTCTGAATTAGGACCTCATTGCTTGCAACCCAGCTTGTGTGCTACATTAATTCAGAAATGGGTTTTAGCAGCTTCTTTCACCTAACAGTCTCCTGAGCTGTGCACTGAGAGACAGAGGGCTTTTCCCCCTCCTCTTTTTGGAGGACAGCAAGGCACAACATAGCAATAGATACAGTGTGATCTTGACTTTGTGAGTGCAATTTCCAAAAGGCAAAAACACCTTTTAAAAGAAAAAATGTTCTCTAAAAATTCTCCAAAACAAAACAAAACAGTTACAGAAAGCTATTCCAGTTACAACCTGGATCAGGAACATATAAATCATAATAAGAATATGAGTGGACACAGTTTGGAGAAACTGGGAAAGTGGGCAGAATCACTTTTGGAGAACAACTGACATACCAAGAGCTTTATAAGTTGTACTGTGGTCAAGAAATAATATCTTCACCATCAAGCACTTTCAGTGGACACACACTCCAGCTTGGTGTAAATAAGGTGATAAGGGACAAGAGTACTGCTGTCATCCTGTCACTCACTGTTCCCCCACCCTGGAATCATACAATTTACACAGCTTTACTGCACAGGGGAATATTCTTATAAACTATTGTTCTGCCCATAACTTCAGATCTATTTAAGAAGATGAAAGTAAGCTTTTTAAAAGAAAGAGTCTGCTTAAGCACTCTGTTTTTATTCACCGGGGAGATGCCTGCTTTCATATTATCCTTAATTGACCAATAGCACATGAAGATTATTGGCTTTCAGACAAGAGGTTTTACAGTCCACCAGGCCCATTCAGAGATATGTTTATTAAAATGGTATTTGTGTGTTGTTTTACTGATATGAGTTTGCATTAGTGCCACAGTTTTCTTCCCCACAAGGACAGAGAGCTCTTACTCCCTCACACAGCCGTTCCCAGCTGAGCTCTGGAACACAGGGCAACCACAAGCTCTTGTGGCTGGTGGTCACACCAGTGGCCACCCAGCCCTGAAAACCATAGCTTTGAATGCAGGGTGTTTTGTCTCTCTGAGCTGACCCACCCGACCACCAGCGGTGGGTACTGGCTCACATGGTTATATTGTAACAGACCCCAGCAAAGCAAGGAATAAATTCTTCTGACAAAAGTTCTCAGACTGAACCATTTCCCCAGGGTTATACTGGAGTGGCTCTGAAGTGCAGCACAATGGCCAACACCATTGTGGGGGAAGACAGCCAGAGCTGCAGACCTCCAGCTTTTTGTCACGCTTGTGCTGCCTTTCACAAAGCACACGATGTTGTGTCTTTATGGAATCAGAGTACCTAAGAACATTCCCTCCACACAAGCAGAGAGAGACTACATTAAACAGACATCCATGCATTCAGTGATGATCTGTCCTTCACAGCCCACTACGTTTATTCCTTCTCTTACCAAAGTCCAAACTTGTATCCTCAACTGCATAGGCAAAGACTGCAGCATCAAAGGATTCTGCCCTGAATTCCTTGAACTGGGAGACCCTGCTGCCTGACTGAGCCTAAGTCATGCACCAGTTATGTGTCCAGAGGGGAACCAGAGAGAAACAATACGCAGCACAGGAAATACATAGTTCTCAATGTCATATACAAGTCTATGCAGGAATCTATCTGGACAGCAGTGATCAACTGATCCACATTTATAGCTCATGTGTCTTCATTGTCCCATATCAGTCAAATCCCAACTTTCATAAGCAGGCCAATCACAGTGATGGTGGATGACCAGAACTTCGCAGTCCATCAGACTCTTAAGTAACATTCCAGATGCAGTAGAAGAGAGAACCTGGCCAACACTGAAGGAAAGGATGTAGGAATAATTGATGAATGGATAAAGGGGAAGAGTTCTAAACATCTGAGGAAAACATTCATGCTTCAGCATGTGCACCCATCTTTGACATGACACAAGATGAGGTGTGCTTCTATTAACAGGCCATGGAAAAACAAAGGAACCCGAAAACTCTGCATCACAATCAGACACCAAGCTTGAAGAAACAATTCAGTTGAGACTTCGGCTCTTTCAGATAAAATGCAGCTTACTCAACTAATCAGTTTTCCCTGTGAGCACAGTGAGCAAGGCTTAATTAGGAACAGAATGTAATGTGTGAAGGACATTTTGTTAAAAATACACTGCATGTACTGAAGGAACTCTGTTTTTCTCATACAGTGTGACATACAATGGGCACTGAACCAAAACACCACAGAAGTAGGTGGTTTATGCTATCCCACTGGACTACCAAACAACATTTAACATTGAGAAAGTATTGCAAATATATAGAAGAGGATGTCTAAACGTTCCTTTACAGTATTGCCACAATGACTGCTTTTCTTCCATGTTACCACAGCCATTACTAGAAAGCTAACTCCAAAAGTCATCATAAAACATCTAAACTTGATTTGGAAAATACATATAACGTTTTCTGTTATTCCTTCTTCTCTGTCTTCTAATCTAGACTTAATATTAAGCCCAGTTTTGTTTTTTCTTAGCAGCAAAAATTAGAAGCAACTCAATTCAAGTCAATAAAATTATTGCAACATGAAGAAGGAATCAGCCATCTGCAAAAAATAGTCTAACAGGTAATTTTCCACTGACAGCTCTTACCATAAAACAGGTGACAAAAACTACACTGTTTTATCTAACACTGTGTATCTGAAAGTAAACAATTAATGCAAAAGGGACAATGCTTTTAAAGACAGTAGGTCCTCCATCTGTGCCCTTGTACATAATTATTTTCATCTTAGTAAGCAGACACTTAAGAAGGACCACTATCAAATTGTAGATGGAGCCTATTCATCACACAAAACAGGCAGCTGAACATCTCTATTTATTTATGCATTGTTTTACCTTTTGATCCCCCCTTGGAAAGCATGTGGAATCTATGAGACATTTTCACGCATCATTTCTTGTAGAAGAACATCAAGTCACCTTTTATGCCCTTGGGCAAACTTCTTCCATCTGATCTCAGTAACTGTCCATATCAAAAATATTTTTCATACCTTGTGTAAGCAGCTGGAGGTTTCGGACTTCTTCTCTCACCTTCAGCTGAAGGACTTGCTGCAGAATGTGCTGTCGCAGGCTTTCCTGGGCAATGCCCATTCGTTCAAGCTTTTTGTCAGTAAGTCTCAGCAAAGCACGGCCTGGAAGAAAAAGCCAAGAAGAAAAATCACCCAAGGATTTCCATTAGTGCAATAGACTCACTCTGACATGATAATTCACTACAGAAAAAATTCTCAGCCCTGAAATACCTTATTCTCATATTGTTCCATCTGTTAGGTACTCCCTTACTGTTAGAGACTTACGTGCTACTCCTCCCTTTTCTATTGTTTTTCTGTATTGTTTTGGTGCTTTGTGAGATACAGGCATGTAAAACAGGTATCTTGTGCCATTTTAGACAAACAATCTTCTTAAGGGCCAGTTGGTCTTCCATGGGTAGGACAACCCTTATAAGTCTACAACTGACATAGGTGCCTAAATAGACTCTCACCTATTTTCAAACATCATGTCAAGAAATGAGTGAAAACCGATGACTGTGGGTTTTACAAATTAAATCAATTTAAGATATATGAAGGATGAATATTATTGCAATTCAGATATGTCTATAGTTTAGCAACACCATTTCCCAGGATAGCTTTGTACTTCATGGTTCAGCCTTCCAAATCCCTCTTAACAGCAAACTATCACAGCAAAATTGGAAAAAAAAAAACCACAGAGATTTCTATCAATTATATCTAAACCATTCCTGAAAAATATTTTGTCCGACTATAAAAAACCATCTGCCTATGGTCTTTGCAGGCATTCACTCCAAGTTTGTGACTTATCTTTAGTATTGGGTTAATGCTGAACCACAGCCCCAGGCAGACTGTAGATGTTAAAAAAATCAAACAATCTACATTCTCCCAATTCTACTAGTGGAACTCTGACTCCATCTTTTGGGCATGGCTATGCTATAAATAACAGAAGCAAGGCTGTACACTGGCTGAGATGACAGTAAGGAAGTATTTGAACCAAGCAGAGAACCAAAGCATCAAGCAGAATTTTACCCTAGGAAGAAAATGAAAACTTACATTCTTTGGTCATGCCCACTGCTGTGAGGTAGTACAGGGAGGAGTGTTGTGCAGCCCTCTACTGACTCTTGCTTCCCTATATACATTTTCTATCTAAAGGTATCCTGGCCAATAAAAACAAATCAAACTGGAGCTACATTGATACTACCTTGAAAATGTCATGTTTGGTTCACTTTTTAAAACAGGTTCAACTTTTTACCTCCTCTGTTTTTTCATTATGAAAAATCCCTTCTTTGACTTCTCAGGCCTTATTCTGAAACCAGAAGAAGATAGCAAAGAGCAAGTTATTCCCTCTGCAACACAGCAGCCTCTGTGCTACCATTACTGTGGCTTTTGGATGAATGGTACAATTTAGCTCGTTAGAAAGTGTTTCTCAACACAGAAAGATAAGACCCTTATTCAACATCTTTCCTTGCAAAATAGCAAGGAGTAGAGAATTTTTCTAATTATTTTAATTTAAAAATTTAAGATAAATGCCAAAAATTTAAGGGGGCACAGATTATCTGCCCTAAACCAAGGAGTCAGCAGCATGCCTTTCACAAACTGCTAGATTTCAAGCAGTTCCATAGGATCTTGACTGCTACTCACAAGCAGTTCCATAGGATCTTCATATGACACAATGTAAAATACTGGGATATTACTATTAATAAAGCAAGATGTTATTGATCAGATAAAAATGACAGCATTCATAGATTTTCTGCCCTTCTGTGTCTCTCAAACACTACACGCTACAAAGGATGACCTTTTGACTAGGAAAGCTTTATTTGAAATCACAAACAAGAAGAATTCTAAGGGTTAATGTAATAACAAACTATGGAAATTAAATCTCTTGCAGATCAATGCCAGCTGTCCAATTCTCCTGGTGATAAAGGCAGCAATAATGACTTCAATTTTTATATTGTCTTATCTCACCAAAACATCTTAAAGCAATTTATAAAGGATGTACAACAGTTCAAGAGTATGGTCTGTAATGTCAAATTAGCAACTGAACGCAAATAAAAACACAAGACACCAGTTTAAAGAGTGCCAACACATATGTCATCTTAGGGCAGGGAGTCAGCAACAGTAATATGAAAGGACAGACAGAGGCCATGCATCTCATCCAGTGCCCTCCACCTCTTTTTGGCCATAGATATAGTAATTTCTCTTTCCTTCATCTGGGCAACTCTTTAGTTCATGTTCAAATGGTTTTTCTACCCCAGTCATTGGCTTTGGAGGTTGAGTGTGCACAAAACAGAGATGTCTCTTTTCAACTCTTGGTATGTCAGTTCTTCTGTGGCTTAGGCTCAAAGCACGATGCTATTGACTCATACTCTCTGTAGCAGCTTGCACAAATTGCCTTAAATTAACTCTTTCTTACACCAGATCCAAAGAGACATGCTGAGGCAGTGATGAGGTAGAAAGAAAACATCCAGATGTGGCATTTCAAAAATATACTAAGAGACCTGAATGTGAAAATTCAACCCTCCCAATACTTCTACCCTCTCAACACTTCGAACAACAACATCCAAGCCACAAGTGGAATAATTTTCATTCTGATACTAAATCATGCCTTTGAAAAGATATTTTTAGTGCCTGGACCAGTCACTAAAGGCAATTAGTCACTAAGGCCAAGATCCTGACAATTCAGCTAATGATTTTGGATGCTTCCCTGTCTTCCTGTATTATGCATATCTGAAAGAGTAATTACTTCTTACTAAGAACTCTGTGTTATTGAACATTGAAACCAACTGTCCAGAGAATTTGTGGAGTCTCTGTCTTTGGAAGCATTTGAAACCTGTTTGACAAGGTCCTGAGCTGCACTCATCCCTGCTTTGAGCAGATGATTGCCAGAGGTGTCTTCCAACATCTTCTGTTCTGTGAAATAACCTGCATGAAGGATCTTGATCTAAATACCTATTTTCTTTTAAAAAGCTAAGATTAACAAAGGAAATTAATAAGAGTACACAAAAGATGGCCATTTTATCAAGCAACATGGTCAAACAGAGAGAGAGCTATACAGTAAAAATTGGGGGTAGATTTTTAATTTTCAGAGAGTGCAGATATATTATCAAAAGCAGAACATTTCTAAGAGTATACACTGATCTATTCTATACATTTTCCAAGAGTATAAACTGATCTTTGCTCAGACACAAGTAGAATGAACTTAACTACCACTGCAGGAAAATCTCCCAACACTACAGAACAGACACTACCTCCTAGATGTAGGAGCTACCTGCCCAGCAGGTATATTTTTTTCGAACAGGACCTTTTTTTCAAAAGCACCTAAACTAAGAGAACCATAAAGGTCCCACTGACAAACACCTAGGCCTTGGTTCAAGCTAGTTGCAAGGCTGGAAACTAAATGTTTTAAATAAAATGTCACAGTTCCCTCAGTATCTGTACATATCTTTTAACACCTAAACCCCAGCCCTCTCATACTCAGGGCAGATCAGCCATGGAATGTTCTGAGCTACCCTGAGGGTAAACACAAAATATAAAATGCATTTCAGTTTAATAATAGATTGATGGCCTAATTCTTTCTAATATGACTTAGCTGCTACAGATCTCATTGAATCAAGCTGGGATTAGATGAAAATCTGAACGGAGGGAGAAACATTGCATGCCACAGAACATTAGCATGAGTATAAGCACTGGTCCAATGAGGCTGGCATTGGCCCTTGAGCGAGGAAGGCAGCACAGACTGCTGTACCTAACCAGAAATACTCAGCCCGCCCTGCACTGGTATATCCTACTGCTCTTCCCCAAGCTGCCAGTTCACAGACACACAGAGGGACACCTTGCAAGAAGCCCTGGAAGAACACTGGCAATGCAGGCAAAGGGACAGGTAAGAAAGGACTTATTTAACATGTGGAAAGAACTTAAGAAATACAGGGAAACAAGAACAGATAGCTAGTAAGAGGCTGATCTGACACAAAACCCTGATGAAAACCATGAGTAATTTAAAGCTGGTGAAAATGATAAACCACTAGTGGGAACAAATGATGGTGTGAAATATGGCCAAGACAGATGACCTTGCTTTCCAAGTACAATATGAAAGGTATACCTGATTATCCAGCCAAGATGTTCAGTTTACTTACCTGCAAAACCTGAAAAAACAGGAAGATGAGATTCACTAAGCTCCTAAATTATGTTTATACTTAAATGCTGCAATTTCCATTTTATTCTTAATTAATAGATAATAGTGTGTTTCTCTAGTTTTTCAAATGTGGTGCTTTTGTGTTTACTTGAAATAGTCTGATCACAGCTTTCCTCCTGTTTAAACGGGCTCATTGTTTGCTGCTCTTGACTGCCCTGAACATATCATGTAAGAAATTTCCATGACAGAGACACAGGCATAAATATCATTGTTCAGGTGCTGGTGAGACACAAGTATAAAACTCTCATCATATATTTAGGAAAGAATGCAAACAAGAATGGGCAGAGAGAGACACTATGATTTCATAGTGAGAAATGGCAAAATTATGAGAGGAGGCAAGAAAAAGAAAAGACATCTACAGAATGAGACTAGCCCCATGATGGCAGTGGAGGGAGATGAATACTGGGAAAAGAGAAGAACTATTAGACTGAATATATATACTATATATAATATATATACCTATATATATATATATAGTACATATAACCCCTGACTATATTAGGGAACTGATCTGAAAAGAAAACAAAAGGATATTAATACAATTGAAGATGCTGAGTTCAGAAATACCTTTTAAAAGAAACAGCGCAAACCAGAAATCAATTCAATTTTCAGAGCAAACTTGGTATGACTTCATGATGCTTTTCTGGATAATCTATCAGATCTTCTACAGTCCTACATTTTCTGCTTTTCCCATGATAATTTAAGAGCCTGTCTCTCCTTCTCATGCCTGTCTCATCACTAGTCAACCAGACACATCAGCCACTTTGTCATCAATGCCTTGCGGCAAATCTACAGCTCTTCCTGCAAAGGCAGCTAGATCTGATTTGTCTTACTAATTACTTTAGCCCTAAGACTAATGCAGACTCTTGGTAAACTGCAACTTGCATTACCACCCTCTTTGTCCCCCTTCAGACATCTAATATGTCACTAATCA